CTCCTTTCAAAAGTTATTGTGGTAACGGCCGGCCGGCCGGCCGGACGGACACACTGACCGATTCTAGAGTGTACTCACTTTTTGAGTACACAAAAATGAGAAAATTATATGGTTAGGTAGAATAATTGATGTTTTATCGAACAATATCAATACGAAAATCTTTTGAAATCTTTTCAAATACAGTAAACTGGGGTGTGGATGTGCATATGCTTTAGGACAAGACTCACAGCTACACCCACACCCTCACATCCCACACCCACACCCACACACCCCACACACCGCATCCTGCCATTTCGTTTTTTTTTGTGACAAACTTCATAGCATCAGTGAGTTCATTTACATGTCACAATCTAGACTTGCATCAAACCTGAACATTTGAATTTGGTGAATTTACTTTAATATTTGTTGACTCAGGTTTGAGCACTTTTTCCAACCTCATCTGCACATTTTCAAAATATTATCTGATGCATAAATAAAACAATAAAAAAAAAAGAATTTGTCTTCTATATAAGCATTTACCTAGTAAAAAAACTGTTAGTTGAGTTTGAGTGTTATTTGTGACTTATGTCGGCCAATCCGATCATAAGCGAGCGGTATTATCGAAAAAAAAAACTCAACCCTAGAATCAATCCTCATTAGAGATTATATGACTTTCTAAAAATTTTAGATTATCAAGTATGTTTTAATTTGTTCCCTCTTATATACAAAACCCTAGTTCTTCTGAGTTGTAAGCATCGTTCATTTACTAAGTTTATTATAATTTGCTATCAAGAGGGTTTTTCCAAGTAATAAACTACTAAAGCACTTTCTTTTTCTAAAGATACTTGACATATAGGTATATGTGTACTACACTATAACCAAACAGTGAACTTTTTCTTAAAAGTCTTAAGATTTTACATTTAAAGTAATTCGTACATTGAGATGAATATCGAATGAACACGTTAAAATGAGATATTAACTGACAACCTTATTATTTTTTGTCTGGAAGGATTTAAAAGTTGAAAACAATTTATCGATGATAATCTGCTTCACACCTTTGAGAGTAGTTAGTCATGGTAAATATATATAATACATAGTTAATAACTGTATGAAGTATATGAAAAAAATTGTTGTCTCATTTTTTCTCAAAAAAACATTATAATGGAACAACTACTTTTTATTGTGTTAATTCATAGTTTTCAAAAACTGAAAACTTCATTTTCCAGAAATCTTTTGAGTAAGAAAGGCGGAGTAAGTGCATATAACCAGTATGGAGTGCCAGCCAGAGATGAGCGAGCCGCGGTGTAAAACCGCCCCGTCCCGCCCCGCCGGCGGGGCGGTGCTAAAACTTGACGGGGCGGGGCGGTGACGGTGTATGACGAAATTTCGCGGTTTCCCCGCCTTTGTATAACCTTGATTTTTTAAATATACTCAGACCTTTAGAGACATCTTTTTAAAATTTTAAAATCTTTTCACAAAACTAATCAGTAAAAAAAGACTTGTTAGCGCAGCTCCAGAGGAGCTAAAATGTGGAACTCACATATATTTTTTTAATTTTTTGTCCTGATGCCTTATTTTTAAATTGTAAAGTACCTTTTTTCCGAATACGTATGAAATCATTGATATATTATATAAAAACTAGAGCCTTTTATGCGCTGCTGAGGTCTGTAATGATGGGAGTCAGAGTTACCAGATCGAAAATTAAAAAATCAGAAAAATTTTTCTAAAAATTGGGAAAGTCGGAATTTTTGTTCTCGAAATCGGAAGAAAATCAGAAAGTATTTTTCCATGCTTAAATAACTAGTCTATATATTTTCGATAGCTTCAATATCCTTTATCTTGCTTCTGTTCATCTTTTCGAAGCAATATCAGAAATGATATTTCATAAAGAATTAAAGAAAATATCGATTACACAATTTACTCATGATTGAGAAATCTACATAAGTAATTTGAACAGGATCACATTATTTTTATCAAAAATGCTATAACCAACTTGACGAAACAATAGAATCAGTATTGTAAATTCATACACACACATGCATTTCACAAAACTTATGCAAAAGAAAACTAAGACTTATTCTGTATAATGTTCGTTTTTGTTCATACTTTTTTATTAGCTCGAATACTCTTCAAAATATCAGGTTGAGGTAACAGATATTCATAAAAATGTCCACAAGTATAAACAGAACTCATTCCGATTTTCAATTCTGCAACAGCTAAATTAGTACCCATACGATTATGATTAGTTTTATGATATCTGTGATGAAACAAAAAAAGCTCAGAAACGAAAATATTCTTAATTAACACTATAGTAAAGGAACAGAGAAAGTTAGTTCATCGTGATAGAACACTGGATCTTAATTGTCTGTAAAACATCATAGTTTTATTGAAGGATATGCTTTCAAATCACTGCAGTGTGGTTTGTTGAGTTCATGACGCTTCACTACCCGATAACTATGGTGAAATAGATCGCTATATATGTGTGGTATCGTGTCATGATTAAACTATTCTAGAATGTCCTAAGAACTTGAATTCCCAAATAAGACTTCGAAAACCGGAGAAAAATTAGGAAATCTGAAGGCGATCGGAAAAATCGGAACGTCGTTGGAGAAACTTTCAAAAAATCGCAATTTTTCCTGCCGTATTGGAAGATCTGGCAACCCTGAGTGGGGTGTCTGTAATGGAGTGGGGGAAGGGAGAGAGCCGCCAAACCTCGAACTTAAAACTTACAATCACTATTTTATTCGAAAATATACTTGAGTTCCACAAAATGAGTGACTGTATTATAATTGCCTTTCATTTTCATATATTTATTTTTTTCTATTTCGGAACAATGTTTATGGATTTAAAATATGCCTCTTCATCTCATGAAATGAAATAGCCATTATGAAAATTTAATGAAAAATTTGTCAATAAATAGTTTTTTAAAACATATTTTTGACGGGGCGGGGCGGGGCGGGGCGGTGGCGGTTTCAATGCTAAACAGGCGGGGCGGTGACGGTGCGACTTTTTTGCTGACTCGCTCATCTCTGGTGCCAGCTATATGTACACAGGGTGGATATAATTGTTCTCTTCATCCCATATCTACACCCCCATCCCCACTCCCACCTATCTGTATTTATATCGTAAACTGATATCCGTATACGAAAAACATCAAGTCTTCGTAAAGCCACTGGTTTTTATCAGTTTACTGCCGTTCACGGATTGTCCATGCTGATCTGGGATCGATTAATTGTTTTTTGCATATTGATTAACAGAAGTATACATTTTCTACAACAAATCAACTAATTACTTCAAAATGAAATATTGTCCTTCAAAAAATAAAATAACGTCAAATATGCTGGGTACAACGTTTAACTTACCTGAATTTCGCCAATAAGACTTTCGCCAACCGAACATTCGCCAATGGTGAGAGTCCACTGTACTTTCGCCTATATACCCTCCTGAGTTTCACTAATTGGCGAGAGTCCACTGCACTTTCGCCAGTGCACCTCCGAACTTTCGCCATTGGCGAATGTACAGTTGACGAAAGTCTTATTGGCAAAATTCGGGAACCCCCGTATACAACTGTGTTTTTAATGCATGTGATGATCGTAAAGCAACATATTGATCGCTATTATCTTTCTCGTCATCTTTACATTTGAACAAAAGTCACTCATATATTTAATTGAAGGATCAATTGACACTAGAGAATCTTTTCGAGGTGTCGTTGATGTAAAACGATCATCATCATTAAATAACAACATTCCTTTTTTTATATATTCAATGCATTCTTCTCGTTTTTCCGCCAAGTAAATGTTTCATTTTTCAAGTTTTCTAATTTAAAAATGTTGCCATCAGATCAATTGGATGGTGCTGAATCTTTTCTTTCAAAATTTGTTTTGTCCTTTGATGAAAATATGCAAATTCTGAATCCAGAAAAGTTAAACACAAAGAATATGAAAGAACATTTAGAATTACTAGCCTTTATCTAGTTTTGAAAATTATAAAATTATATTGATTTTTTCTTACCAAACCGAACCGAACCGAAAAAATCTCTAATCGAACTGAACGTAACTGACTGAATTTTTAAAAATTCCTAACCGAACCGGTTTCAGTTTCGGTTCGGTTAAAAACCAAGCCAGTTTCATCTCTAATCCATAATGGCAGATACAATTATATTTTATTTCGAAATCAAATCCAAAATACTTTCATTTCTCTATCTAAGTTTTTCACATAAGAAATAATTTTGGAAGATAAGAAGAACTTATATAAAAGTATATAGTAAAATATGTTGATATACCTGTTAGTCTTTTTATTGTAATAGTCTATTGATGAGACATCATCTACAACTATGCTATTGAATAGATTTCATTTAAAGAATACTTTAAAGTAAAACAAGATTGTTGCATGTAACCTTTATTTAGATTTTTTTCCACATCACGTTTCGAAAGAACATCAAGAATGAGTTAGAAATATTTTGAGATAAAGACAAAAAAAAACAAACTTTATTTTTAATTCGATTATATGAAGCTTATTATAGAATGAGTCAATAAAACATAATATTGAACTTAAAAAAATAATTAATCTAATCGAAATTTTTAATAAACTTCTGATTTATATCATGTTCAAGATTTTATCTAATAGACTAATTAAGACAAAAATTTTCGTGTCATTAAAAATGTCTTTCTCAAAGAGAGACAAATCGGGTGTCAAATGAATCAACACGCGATATTTTTCTTCTCATACAATGATTTAGTGTTTCTATAAAAGAATAATTGTCATTTTGATAAGCATCCATGCATAATAATCAAAATAAATGCACTTTCATGATTTTTATTTATTATTTTCATTATCTCGGATGAAAAAAAAACTTTATTTTGCCTGATGAATTATCAACAACGACGCAGATTATATTTAATTATTAGTGCAAGCAGGTGGAATATAAAAAATTTTTATCATTTTCTTTTCTCGTAAAATATCAAGTAAAAATAATCTTTTATTTTTCTTGAATCAAAACATTTTATTATTTTTTTACTGTTATGATAACTCATACAGCAATATTTTGGTCATTTCTTATCTGTCTCATTCCATCCATTATTTGTTCATTATTTGTTCTATATCATCTTCTATTCGATCGAACTTTACGTCATGGTCTTCATAATCATGTTATTATTATTGTTCTCATTATTGGTCTTATTTGTGACGTGACACTCTATCCATGGATGCTTTATTACTATCGATATGACGGTAAATGGAATAGATCACCTATCTTTTGTATCATTTGGGTATTTATAGATTGGGGACTTTATATAACACATACAGTACTTTTTTCTTGGGCTACAATTGAAAGACATATTCTTATATTTCATGATCAATGGGTATCAACAAAAATAAAACGTTTTTTTGTTCATTATCTTCCTTTGATTGCACTTCTTTTCTATTGTCTTATCTTTTATTTGGTACTCGATTTTTTTCCATCATGTGAAAATTTATTTCTTGATTTCAATATAATATGTGTCTATTTGTGTGTAAGACAAATTTATGCATTAACTATGTGGGAGACGATAGGCCATCAGATAATACCTGTTTTAACAATTCTTATATTCAGCATTGCTTTATTTATGCGTGTTTTATGGCAAAAACATCGAGTGAATCAACCAATTCAATGGAGAAAATATCGAAAAATGACAATTCAATTATTATCTATTTCATTTCTATATCTTATATTCTTTTTTCCAGCAACATTTATGACACTTATGTATATGTGTGGTTTATCATATGAGATAGGTGCTGATTTTTATGAATATACGAACTTTTTCAGCTATTATATGATACTATTGTTACCTTTTGTTTGCGTTTTATCATTACCTGAACTTCGAACTAAATCCATGAACATCTTACATTTACGAAGACAAGTACGACATATTGTTCCTACATAAAGTAAGAGAATTGTTGAACATAATCGAACACACATACAGTAGACACTATTATTTTGTGATCATTGTTGTATTGTAATTAAAACTAAATTAAAATAAAACTATATATTGAGCACTAGAAACCGGAAGTTTTTCTTTATTTATATTGAATGAAGTAAAGGACAAAAATCTTAGAATAAAATGAAGTGAAATATCTTCAATAAAGTCTAATGAAAGAATTCTAACCTAGAAAATACTTTGAATAAATGTAATGCAAAATAATGAATGTGAATATTTATTCATTAGTTACAAATACAACTGACTGTAATAACTTTTTTTTTTGATGAGAAGTAATGAGTAGAAATTTATAATGATTGAGATTTTGGTTGTGTATTATATTATTGTAACAAACACTGTCTACGTAAAATATAATCAAGTGACGCGATAACTTACTTTTCTAAATAAAAATTTCATGTCAATTTGATTGCTTAATAGATCTTGAATGCATTAATGTAACTGAATTTATTACATCTTTCTTAACTATTGATAGTGAAGGAGTAGCATCAATAAAAGAGTTCGAAGAAAACTTGTTTGTAATAATTGCTGAAAAAAGTCATATGAAACAGTTTAAATGAATGAAAAGAATATTACACATTTTGTATGTTGATTATAAAATAGGATTGAATTGTTGTAGATTAAATATAGGCTCTAATTTTTAATCCATATCATAATATTGATGAACATTTTCAATTTAATTATCATACCTTTTGTTATAATAGTGTAGATATTATTATATTTTTTGTGAAAGTTGCATATGTTTATTGAAGAAAAATAGAAAATTGAAGTTTACATTGAACATTTTTCGGTTTTCTCCTATCCCAACAACTGAGATCAGAGATAAATGAGTGCAGTCAACTAGAGATCGTTGGATCCAAAATTTTTGAATCTGGACCCGGATTCGAACCCGATTCATTGAATTTTTTTCAAATCCGGACTCGATGTATTGAACTTTCAGATACTTGGATCCTATTTAAAGAAATTTTTCGGATGCAAATCCGTTTGATTTGTCTACGTTAGAGCACGTCGGTGCAACTTTTTTACACCTGGATTCGATCAATATAAAACTTTAGTTCCGGATCCGGACTCTACCCGACAATTCCTATAGTCGACATCTTCCAACATCGATAAGCTCGCAGGGCTTGTTGTATGTTAACGTGACACAATCGCGATAAAATAGTATTGTGTTTGTAATTAACATAACAGATGTGAGCTTATTGCATTTTAATTTTAGGCAAAAATCAATCTTAACATCTCAGAATTCATATCGATGCAAGATAAGTGTGCTTTACGGTATGTTGTGCAGGTAAAACAAATGTGTTCCGTAGGCTAACACAAGCATTACATAAAAAAGGAAGAATATAAACAATATAGACTTTCAAAGAAGCCTCATATCCTATGTATCTATTTTTTAAAAATTTTATTGCTTGACATTTATAAATGAACTAAGGTTAATAAAATAGTTTTGATCATGTTGAATGAGGCAAGATATTTAGGATTGAACAACATTTCTCTGTCGAATTGTATCTTTCAATTAAATGAAATTTTTCTTATCATATTTGCTTAGAAAGACTCTTAAACAAACACTAGATGTTTTTTTTTCATAATATTACTAACAAGAAGTATCCGATCTTGTCTTTTTTTATATCGATTATTGTCAGTTGTTAATCTTTTAAGAGGATTATCGATTATGTCTATTCATTGCCGGTCATAATATTGACATAGAAAAACTGTATAGATATCTTGAAATAGTCGAAGAAAAATGCAAGGCAGATAGGAAAAGTTGAAGAGAAAGAGTGATACAAAATCAATAGACCAGGCTTATAAAAAGTCGACTATAGACTATAACGAGTTAGATTACGAAAGAAGTGACCTATGATGGTTTCTGAAATCGTCTTTTGTTATAGATAGTATCTTCTCAGTTCACATTTATTTCTATATTCTTCTTCTTATTCAAACATTTAAAAATTATTGTATCATAAATAGTATTTGTTGATTTATACAAAACATTCTATTTATAAAAGCTAACAAATATATTTGAAAGAATTGATTATTATTTAACAAAAGAAACATTGAATATCGTATAACTAAATATTATTTACAAAAATCTACTCGTTGATAACTCGATCTTTATAATAATAAGAACATTTTAAGAATTTCATTTTTCGAATGAAATTCTTATTGATAGAATTGAAATTAGTGTTCAACTATGAAAACGCTAAGATTTTAATCAATCAGTTTGATATCAATTTTATTTAAATAAATAACATTTAATAGTAACATTACTTTGTATCTTTTATGTTCAAACATTTTATTGACTAGACTTCTATCGAAGAGTGATATAAATTAAATCAATTAAAAGACATTTTAGAAGTTTTTTACTTTGAATGAAATCTTCCGAATTTTATTTTTCTGATTGGCTCAAATGAGAAAAATAAAAATATAAAAACTGGTTCAGAATTATTCTGATGAAGAAATTTTTTTTCGTTGTTTATCTAACAATAAACGTTTATCATCAAATAAAAATCTTTAAAATAGTTTTTCGAAAATTAATTTCGAAAATTTTATTCAATTAAAATAAAATATTTATTATAACAAATAGACAGAATTAAATAATTTATAATAAATTAGAGGATGTGGGTGTGGGTGTGT